ATCAATAGTGTGCAGGAAACTTAACTGTATTATATAGGATCGGCTTTGTTTGCGTTATAGCAAACTATACGCTTTTGATTTTAGTAATAAAAATCTCAAGGTTTTGACAGTGATATTTGATGTAGGTAATATGTTAACAAGTTTTCAGTGAGACTTTTTCACTGATGGCCTGTACATGTCTATTTATTGGATATTTTTATTCAGTGCACGGAAAGAATCAAAGGGATCGGGAACACTTTTTTCGTGCACTAGCCTGAAAAATGCCAACTTTCATGATTTTTAATATGGACGTAAATAATTCGATTTTAATATTGAAGTATAATAAAAGAATGTTTCCTGGAATGTTTTAATGATTACATACGAAATAGCTTTTTGGGGTATAATTGACGCGAAAATCCCTTACAGTGCACAAATTACCCTGTACCTCGTTCTCTTTTCCTCTTCACTTGCGTTGCGTATAAACATTGAATACTTTTTATTCAATGGTATAAGTGAATATCGCTTCTGAGAAAAAACCGCGTCAATGGAAAAATGTGTTTTCTTGAAATTGTTTTTTACTCTAATAACGTACACAACACTACCATACCACTTCGTTGTTTCAGACAATTTGTTTGTCAGCTATCATTTACATATGATTGAATTTTAACTACGTATAGAATTGCCGTTGCCTGGCTGTATCATCTATCACGTGCTAAATACATTCTGATAAAGACTTCTAGTCACTATAGCTAGAGTCTAGAAAAAATGAAAGTTTTGGTTCATGAGTCAGTAAAATGAAGGCAACTTTTCACTTTTGCTTCCAGGTTAAGAGTCAAAGAATGAAGTAACAGTTAGATAAATCTCCATTGAGATTTTGGTTTAAAATTGTTCTATAGATAGGCGTCTATAACGCCCGTACAATTTGGTTTTTGTCACTGATTTGATAACCTTTAAAATGAGAACATGAATGCATCATGAATGGCACAAAATTCTTTTTATCCGTTAGGTATACCATTTCCAGGAATATTTTAAAACGGGACTCCTGGGCGATAATTTGATTAAGGCAAAAAAAAACAACCAAATTAAGAAACCAAATATACTATGCAGTTTAGTATCAAACAATGTTGCGCCCCCGAGTAATAATGACATGGGCAAAAGTAGTTTGGTGTCCTTGCCCTAAAACTTCCTGATCGTCATTAAATTTGATAAATAGGAAGTAATTTTGTATATTTATCACAATATTTACAAAGCGTGTCTAAAGCTGTTGCCCTCCAACTGTCTGCAGACTTTAGACCTTAGTAATCAGAAAATTCGAATCACTTGAACCATTGAGTAATTAAATAGGAGTCACTCAACGCTTGAACTAACTTAAAAATAAGTGCAAAATTCGACTCTTCTCTTTTCAAGGTATAGGTACTTGGACAGCCATTTATACGTTCATGTAGGTAGATCCAGAAAGGGATATAAAACCCCAAATGTCCTACGTAATTGAAATGTCAATACAATAGAGACTAGTCGAAGTGTTTAAATTAATTTATTTAAGGATATTTAGATAATAATCTCCAACACCATTCTGCTAGTGTTTGGAAATTACTACAGTTAAGTGCAGAATATACAAATAAATCTTTTAAGTAGGTACATAATAAAAACATGCTGTAAATCAACATATGCCACTTTTTGGTGATACAGATTATCAGTTATTTATTAGCAAAGTTTAAGCAATTACAATAACTCGAGACTTCAAAACTTCACTAAAAGCTTTCTGCTATAGCTCTAGTCTGTTTTGAGTTAGATTACTCCTGAGATCCATTTTTTTAAATACTTTCTAAACGAGTTAAACACTTTTGAAAATGTATTGAAAAACTTTCAAAAAATTTAAATCCTATATATAGTATTTAAATACTTTCTAAAGTAACTTTTCAAAATATTTAAATACTTTTTTAAAGTAATTAAAGGCTTTTTTAAAGTATTTGTTTTTAATATTTGGTTATGTTGTTTCAAAAAGTGTTTAATAATTAAATACATTTCATTTTCAGAAAGTATTTTGCTCAGGTGTGCTTCAGATTTACTGTTACTCATTTTATATCCAAGAAAACTGCACAGATCATACGATGCGCTTGTTTGAATGAGACAGTGAACGCACTTGATACAATCCTCCGCCTCAGTGAACGCGTACCTATATCGTTTTTAGGATTAAAAAATCCTATACAACTGATGAATACCAACCGATCCTCGAGATCTGTTTTTGGGCTGTAACTTTTTGACCCGATAGTTTACGTAGCTAAAAAACACGACCTTTCTTATTTCCCTAAGAGCACGGATACCATTTTTTTCACACGTGAATGAGAAGTTCCGATGAAGCTTGTAACAAGAATAAACAGTTTTCAATTACTAATATATAGCCAAATTACCCTTAATCATTGAATAAGCACCTTAAAGAAGTATAACTACATAGGAAAACCTGAAATTGGTGTAAGGTGTGTTGCATACACTGCAAAGTGGTTAATTACCACAAATATTGAAGGATATTTAGCCTCGGGCGGTAAATAATGATTATTTTAAACAGGGAAACCAGTTATACTTAGGGGCCTTCTGTTTGCCTTGTTTATCAGAGTTGAACAGTGCTGTCATATTTTCCAGACCAGATCCTTATATGGAGCTAGGTAAAGTTTGATTGTTTATTATGTAAAGATAATGGTCCTTAGAACAGTTCTTGTTGTTTTCTAATTAAACTACATTTTTGATTTTATTTACATAATATTGTTATTGGAATTGAATAAATTCAATATTTTAATTCTAGTTTATTCACTCAAAGCGCTTGCCAAAAATCTGGCAACGTTGAAATTTTAAAGAATTAAAGAAATCTGCAAAGTCGGTAACTAGCTTTAAATATGTGGTTCACTTTCCCCTACAACAGAGGGACGACAGAATCCTGAGCAGATTTTCTTATTTCATCAGTTAACACGGGGGTTATACTTCTTTAAAGTGCTTATTCAATGCCTTAATTTACAAATGTGTCATTAAGGACCCCATAAACCTGTACAGGCCTGTTTACTTGCATGTAATGATTTTTGCGTAAATATTCCTTGAGTATATGTGGACATTTTCTGAATTAATTAATTAATTAATTAACCGTTTTAAATAATTTTAAGAACAAACAAATATGTGTTACAATACTAAACATAGTACCTATTTGTTATTCCATAACAGTAGTAGGTAGGTACCTATCTTGTTTCTATAATAATAGACATTACCATTGAATAAAGCACCTTAAAGAAGTATAACGCCCGTGTTAACTGATGAAATAAGAAAATCTGCCCAGAATTCTGTCGTCCCTCTATTGTGGGGGAAAGTAAACCACTAATTTTAAGCTAGTTACCGACTTTGCAGATTTCTTTACTTCTTTAACATTCCAACGTTGCCAGATTTTTGGCAAGCGCTTTGAGTTTGAATAAACTAGATTAAAATATTGAATAAGCTTTTATTCAATGCCAATAACAATATTATCTATTATGTAAGGGAGGATCAGTCTGAAATGTAAAATCATAAGGAACAATAAATAAAGTAAAAAATGTTGTTTAATCTAATAAGAACACAAGAACCTGTTCTAAGGAACATTATCTTTACATAATAAACAATCAAACTTTACCTAGCTCCATATCTGGATCTGGTAATTTTAGGCATATTAATGACCTCAGTAATTAATTTCAGATTTAATGTTAGAATGCGGACTTTCCTTATAAGTAATTACTGATTAGATAGGGTGGTACCATTGAATAAGCACCTTATATAAATTGCACAAAACTTAAAAATGGATTTCGCAGGATCTTAAGTCAAACGTGACGTATAAAAGAAAGATCACTAACATCAATAATAAATAATTCAATTTCAATGTATTATGCAACAAACTACATACATAGATAATAAAAAAAATTGATGCAAATTTCTAATTACATTCGCTTCAATAAAAACGGACTAGGTACCGGAAGACTCGGTGCAAAAACATAAAATAAAAAAAGGAGAAGGTAAAGAAAGAAAGAAAGAAAGAGAGAAAGGAAGAAAGGAAGCGAGAGAGAGAGACGCTCGTTACCGCCCGAGGCCAAATATCCTTCAATATTTGTGGTAATTAACCACTTTGCAATGTATGCAACACACTTTACACCAATTTCAGGTTTTCCTATGTATGTACCTAGTTATACTTCTTTAAGGTGCTTATTCAATGACATTACTATATCTGGTCAACTTTCACTTCCCTGCAGTTATTAAACTTGACTAAAAGAGATCAAATTAGACTAATGATGAGATTATTTAAAGTAAGGCCGTAGAGCTTATTATAAATAGCATAATGAAATTGAATGAAAGTATGCAATGTTAAAAGTTTGGCAACGTTGACAAATACAGGAAACCTTCAAAAATCAGGAATTTGTTTCAAATTGAACGCATTTACTTGTTAAGTTTAACGCCAGATGGCCAGACGCGAAACGCCAGAGGTGGTGGACTCAAATATCTGTATAATTATGATTTGTACTACAGAATTATAATTCTTTCTATAATTATTGATTAATTTATTGTAGTATTAATTTTGCCATGTTGCTGTGACGATTTGCTTTTGTTCAATAGATGTCACCAAAAAGTTGTTTTCCACAACCGCCTTTAATTTTTGGTTGAAATAACATTCGTGCAAATATAATAATGTTGCGAGATTTGCATAAAACAAAAAATATCTAGCTAATCTGTGTACTTTTGCCGTAATTTAAGAGATAAGAGATAAATATCTTTCATTTTTATCACACATTGATAATAATTTATCATCAAATTTAGTTTAGAACCTCATTTTTCCACTTTGCAATTACGTTATTGAGGAAATCACATGGCCACTCCACTTTTATACTTGTTTACCTATGTTGTAAACGCCACCTTAATCTTCTGGCAAGTAAATAAACATGAACAAAAGTTACAATAATAGATTTATTTAAAATAGAAAATATCAATAAAATATACATAAATAAATAAAGAAAACAATACTGCATTTTGTATAATACAACAATACAATATCGATACCCTTTTAAAAGAAATAAAGCAATCACTAAAACTACAGAAGCCCAAGAAGTATAGTGCAGTACCCTGTACATTTAGAAAAGCAACGTTATAAAATAAAATTTAAATAATAAATTGCTCTACTAGAAACTACAAAGCGTTAACTAAAACTGCTATGGAGTCATTTCTGCACTACCTACTACTTGAGCCCGGCGCTCTTAGTGATTTGTTCGTAAACAGTCCATGCCATCGCGGCCATTAAGGTGCGGCGAAGCATTCGAGGAACCATTCCCTTGAAATAACCCTGTAGTCCATACTTTCCGTGTACGTAAACGACGACGGACCAAATTCCGTTAAACTTCGACGGATACAGCTGCATTTTCGTCTTCAGAACGTCGGCCGGCTGCGTTACGACCGACGCCAAAACTCCGGCCGTAACTCCGCACGTGAAATGCACGGGGGCCGAGTATTGAGAGTTGAAGCAATCTGTAACGCGAGAGCATGTTGCATACGGTCAATTAGTAGTAGGGGTGGGTTATTACCTTGAGGAACAAAATGCTTCAACTGCGTGTAAAACATGAAGTAGAGTCCCGAGAAGGGGGCGTCTCTAAATAGGGTGGGCACCAATCCGCATGTCATACCTCGTACGCCTTCCGTGCGGTATATTTCACGTAAAGCGGACGCGATGCCATTATATCCATAGACACCACTCTCAAATCTGCAAACAATTTTATTACAAATTTGCCTCTTGCAAGATTAAAGTTGTATTTATACAGGGTGTCTCAAAAAAATATAATGGGATATAAGATTTTTCAAATAGACTGAGAGTCCAAAATGAGAGCTACCCCCCCAAATGGTTCTTCTTTAATTATGCGATTTACTCTACGCCCAAAAAAATTCGGCCCATTTTTGTTTTCTAGGTAAGAAATGCTCTTGGGTTTTTTTACATTTTCAAAAATCAGATCCCAAAGTTCGTCTAGATCAGAAATTTGTTTACAAGGGAACACTCAAAAACCCTAGCAAAGTTATTACCATTATTCTATACGTGTTAGGGTTGCTCAGAAAAACATTAAAAACTAATCTAAAATTTTGGGACAGATACATTTCGGTTCATATGCTTTTTTTGGTCTTCTCTACCACCCAATTTTTATGTACACCATGTATATCCAGCTTACCTAGTTTTAACAACGGTTATTGGAATTAGTGGAACACCACTCAAGCATCGGGCAAAAACGCCTAGCCCGATTAATTGAATAGAAGAAGGAGTAGTTCCGGGAAAGAGGGTGCTCTTAAGCCAGTCGAGGGAGCAAAAGTAGAGACCGACTCCAGGCACACATCTCGTAAGAGACTAAAAAAAACCAAGATTAAAGGTTGTCGATAAACGAATTCGGTCTGATAAGACGATACTTACTGGTGTCATTCCTTTCCATAGTCCGACGATGCGTTCTTGTTGAACGACGTTTGTAAACACGCTAAGCATTCCAATTCCATGTCGACCACCACTAGAAAAGATCTCTATAATTATTAGGCCTCGTTATTCGACGATTTACTTACTTTAAAATGGTCGGGTTGGGGTTCTGAAGACGAGTTTTCACAAGGTCCAAGGGTTGAAATAAGATGGTGGAAAAAGTTCCAGAGAATGATCCGGCCAAGAAGGCTTTTAATACGGGGTGCTGCAACAGAATACGGTTAAAATGGCCCAGTCTCTTTAATATTTTCGGTCTTACAAGGGTAACGATATCCATTCTAATAAAAAATCAGTCTTGACAAGGAGAAAAACGACGAGAAGTTAAGTACTAACGGCCCGTAAATTAAAAGTCTTTAACAGGTCGTATCGGAGTAGTCGGAGTAGTAAATCGGGTTTACACGAAATTTATTAGCGATGGTCATTTTCTCAATTGCCAAGAGTGAATACATGAAAATTTCTTGTGAAACCGGCGTGTGATGCATAAAATTCGTTGGAAATCGGACTGGACAACAAAGTTACGAAACAGCACTTGTTTTACACTGGCTTACGAAACACACTGGTACAGATAGGACACGAACTGCTAGAGTACGAATGCTCGTAACACTAAGGACTCTGGCACTTCCACACACACATATTTATAGCAGACAGGGTCAATTGCGATAAAGAAAGGCTAACACAAGCAACTGATAACGATAAGAGTTGTTTAATGTAATCTTTGCTGGGTTTATTATACATGAAAACTTACATCTTGCAAAATAATTTGAACTTTCTGACCAAAGGAATTTTTTGCTTCGGATTTTTTTGTTAACTCCTCCGATAATATTTCGTCAACAAACACAGATCGTTGCATTCCGCTTCATTTTTTACCAAAATTATAGGAGAAAAGTACTTGGCTTAAGACGGATAAAGTTTTCCAAAAATAACACAGTTTTAGGTTATGTAACGTGCTGAATCCACAAACTTCTTTACCTCACTTAGAGAGTACCCTTTTAAAAAGGCAATATCAAGAGTCCCCAAAAATCATCCAAAAATTTAAATATCCATTTCCCTCGGAACATTCGAATTTCATAAATTGCAGGGCCGTAATACCTTCGCGATTTGAAAAGTGCAGGTCTGTACTCGAGGGTCTGCGCATAATCCTATTTTTAGAAAGGGTTCAAGAACAAATAATGTAAAAACATTTTTATCGCATGACCTAAAACTTTACTCCCCAGCGAAGTTAAATACGTTAATGATGTTATAGGTCACGCATTATCAATCTGCTGGGGGTCTTTTTATCACAATACAAAGATTGAAGTTCAGCTATGGCATTATTATTGCCCCAACAATTTCTTTCAATAATTTATCTTGTACTATCTTCACATAAAGCTGAAATCTCAAATCGGAGGAATTTTTCTTTCATATATTGTTTGTTTTGTTACTGAAATAGCTCGCATTATCGTCATTTGTTACAATAATTCATTTGTGGAAAACACTGATTGCGCACTTTTTTGGTCGGGAAAACGAGCACTTTCCCTTCTAACCTCTTAAGGGTTTGAAGTATAAAAGACAAAAAATTGTTAAAGTAGGGTTGCATAATCTTATGTAAATTAATTGTTTTTTCCATGTAAGCAATGAAGCAACAACTCTGATCTTCGTTGGGGGTCCAGGTCATAAGGTTACTGTAACATGGAATCTTTGAGATCGTATTTTTGTTGCGACGGCAACTTGGAAATTTATCTATTGACGCTGGTGGTATACGTCTTAAATCTTAACGATGAAGAAATAGACTTTTGACGTCTAATTTTACTATTGCGACTCTCATCAAGGGCGATGGCTCAATTGCAGTCACATCTTACCGTTACATTTATTCGAAAGAATCATCACCAGGTAAATTTAACTGAAACGTTACAGACAAGCCATGATGCCTACCTCTGGAAACCTCTTGCTTTTCAAATATAATTATAATTTAACATAGGTAACTTGGGCATAGTTAAAGCAATCGCTTGAATGAAAACTAAAAGAATTTTATATTGACCATAAAATAAAAGGAAATGAGAACAAAAATCTCTGTTACCAGGGCAACTTGTGGGTCGTATATTCTCCAATATGCATAACGTATAAAACATTAATTTTATTAAATTAATTAGCAATGATAGATCTTTCATTGTGATACCTACTTACAAATTCGTCAAAATGCGAGTAAATGAGAATAGTGACAAAAGACATGCTACACAAAATAGTCAACACAACAGCAGGCTGAAATTAATCTCTAAATTCCTTGATAAGTAATAATTATTAATACCACCCATACAATCAGTCTAGTTTTGTTAATTTAAACAAATTGTTATCATTTTTTTTGAACCATTAAAGTATACTTAGATATGATGTAATGTTTCACACAGAAATTTTGATTATTTTTACTGTTAACTAGTTGACCCGGCAAACATCCTGTCTGGAATAAATAATTTAAAAAAAATTATTTGAAAAACATAGTTTTATTGTAATGCTTTTCGATACAGAACATTAATTGTTAGTTTTGAGTTCTGGGGCGTAAAATAAATAATGTTGAAGGTTTTCCGACACGAAAACAGGCGACATACTGGCCATGTGCGGAACATGGATTTTCCAGATTGTCCTCACAAACACAGCAACTATCTTTGCGGTTTAATAAAATTGATAAAAAAATACTTTATGATTGACATATGTGGATTTTAATAAGGTGTCGAAAGACTGTAGAGGTAATTTAGTCACTGCTGTAAATGTAAATAATAAAAGGAGGGGCGGGGTGTTAAAAAATAAAAATAAAAAGCAATACTCCATCCATAATTCTTTTACATAAGTTTTTGGGTATTTTTTCTGTTTTTTTTATTAATAAATTAAGTTTAAATACATATTTCCCTCTTCCTCCTTTATTCCCCTTGTCGTTGTAAATTAGCTACACTGACGATACGACACATTTTGGTATTCATGACTTTTTACTTCTTTTTCACACCTATAAGTGAACAAATCACGTGTAAAAATGAATTTTTTGAATGCCATGCTTTCTAAAAGACTACCAGAACCGAAAATAACCGTTATGAACAGAAAAAAAGCGCAGAACCAAACCGATATTTTTTTTAGAATCGAAACCGAAACGGAACCGTTATAAATATTTTCGCTTAAATATAAACAGAACCGGAACCAATATTTCATTTGGGTCCGGGTCTCTGGAAGTGGCAGAACACACTGAAATGTCAAACACAATGATTAATGGTTACCTTTATATGTACATTTTTGGACCATATTTTATACTTATACCGTTTTCCATATACAGGGTGGTGACTTGCATAACGCATCATAGGGATTTCAATGTAAAATTCATAACATGCGATTATTGGCTCCCCAAATTATTTTAGAGCAAAAATTGCATAGTGTGACACCACACTTACGGTTAAAGTGACCACTTTATCTATCCTAACGGTTATAGAACGGCTTAGCCTACTCATTCAAACCTATTAAAATGTCATTTTAACATATGTTATAGAATAAAAAAAATTGTCTCGATTAATCATAAAATCTTGGGGACAGGGACTCTTTGACCATCGCTCTGCATTTTACTATCTTCAAATGAGCAATCCAAAATTTCCTTTTGTAAAATCAATGGTATTACGATTCGGGACGCCTTTAATAAAATGCGTTGTCGACAGAAATGTCCATACGATGTTGCCAAAATCCTGGGTACTCAGACAGGCTATTCGTTGCGACCTGTTCAGTTTAGTCTGGGCTGCTTTAATAATAATAATAATAATAATAATAATTAATAATTAATAATAATTACACAGACACAGACACTAATCGTTACTTGATTTTAATCCGTGCGATTAGTTAACCAGGCTAGACCTGAGTTCTCACAAGAAACACCGACCATATAATAATAATAATAACGGCTTTATTTAGGCGGGGTGTCAGCCAAAGGCTGCTATTAATCCCAACCTTGATACAGAAAAAAGTACAAAAACATGATGGAGTATTTAAAACAATTTATGATAATTAATATGGTATAATAGCCCAGGTGAGAACAAGTAAGCATGCAAGTAAAGCAAAAAAAAAAAAATAAAAAAAAATAAAAAAAAAATAAAAAAATATGATTCAGTGATAAAGAAGTACTCTAAGGTGTTTTTTGAAATCGTTGGGACTTAATAATTTAAGAAAGTTCGGAACGTTATTGTAAATGAGTGGTGCAAAATAAGTAAATGCACCATGAAACTGGGTTTTATGGTGCTTTGGTACCTATGTCAAGAAAGAATGGGTTACGGAGATTACGATCGTGAATACTACTTCGAAATTTTAACTTATTATACAAATATAAAGGTTCACCAGATACTAATATTTTGTGAACCAGACATGCAAGATGTAAATGACGTCTTTCGCCCATGTTCAAAATTTTATGTGCTTGATAAATATGGGAAATATGTTAATATTTCTTAATGTTAAACGCATACCTGACACAAGAGTTTTGGATTTTTTGCAGGCGAGTCTTATTTGCACTAGTTACTTTTACTTCCGCTTTGAACCATCATACAGAGCTGAGCAGTATTCGATTTTGTAAATACATTTTAGTGTTCAAATCCTTTAAAGTATTCAAATACTTTGTAATTAAATACTTTTATGGAAGCAGTATTTGTATTTGTAACTCAAATACTTTCACAAATATTTATTTATTATTTATTTTTTTTACCAAAAATCGACTGCACCAAAATTTCTCGGCAAAACACTTTTTCTTATTAATTTTGGTGCGTAGAATCCAACACAATTCGTACTTTTTCGATCAGACTTCTCAATCAAAAGTTATAGACTAGAAACCAACTTCGAAAGAAAATTCAAAGGGCTGTAACTTTTGAACTAGTAGCCCAATCTTGGAACTGTTTGAAATTATGGATTGTACAGGCCACATTCTATAAGAAAATTTTTTTCCGGGTCGATCTGAGGCAATTTTTTTTCGGGCCTCAAAAAAAGGCAGTGCCTTCTTTTTTACCAAAAATTAACTACACCAAAATTTCTCGGGAAAACACTTTTTCTTATTAATTTTGGTGCGTAGAATCCAAAACAATTCGTACTTTTTCGTCAGACTTCTCAATCAAAAGTTAGACTAGAAACCAATTTCGAAAGAAAATTCAAAGGGCTGTAACTTTTGAACTAGTAGCCCAATCTTGGAACTGTTTGAAATTATTGATTCTACAGGCCACATTCTATAAGAAAATTTTTTTTCCGGGTCGATCTGAGACAATTTTTTTTCGGGGCTCAAAAAAAGGCAGTGTATAACCTTCCTTTTTTACCAAAAATTGACTGCACCAAAATTTCTCGGGAAAACACTTTTTCTTATTAATTTTGGTGCGTAAAATCCAAAACAAGTCGTACTTTTTCGATTAGACCTCTCAATCAAAAGTTATAGACTCGAAACAAATTTCGAAAAAAATTCAAAGGGCTGTAACTTTTGAACTAGTAGCCCAATCTTGGAACTGTTTGAAATTATGGATTCTACAGGTCACATTCTATAAGAAAAATTTTTTCCCGGGTCGATCTGAGACAATTTCTTTTTCTTGCCTCCAAAAAAGGCAGTGTATAACCTTCCTTTTTAGCCAAAAATCGACTGCTCCAAAATTTCTCGGCAAAACACTTTTTCTTATTAATTTTGGTGCGTAGAATCCAAAACAATTCGTACTTTTTCGATCAGACTTCTCAATCAAAAGTTATAGGCTAGAAACCAATTTCGAAAGAAAATTCAAAGGGCTGTAACTTTTGAACTAGTAGCCCAATCTTGGAACTGTTTGAAGTTATCGATTCTACAGGCCACATTCTATAAGAAAATTTTTTTCCGGGTCGATCTGAGACAATTTTTTTTTCGGGCCTCAAAAAAAGGCAGTGTATAACCTTCCTTTTTTACAAAAAATTTACTGCACCAACATTTCTCGGGAAAACACTTTTTCTTATTAATTTTGGTGCGTAGAATCCAAAACAATTCATACTTTTTCGATCAGACTTCTCAATCAAAAGTTATGGACAAAAAACAAATTTCGAAAAAAAATTCAAAGGGCTGTAACTTTTGATCTAGTAGCCCAATCTTCAAACTGTTTGAAATTATGGATTCTACGGGCCAAATTCTATAAGAAAATGTTTTCCCGGTCGATCTCAGAAAATTTTTTTTTCCGGCCTCAAAAATAGGCAGTACTTTTAAGTTATTCAAATATTTGAGAACAATTTAGAAATGTTTAGGGAAAGTTTCCATTGTCACAAAATCAAATATAAAAATCCGATACATCTGAATACCGAACTCGATAGTCTACGTAACTTAAAAACAATAGGGACCTTTCTTATATCCTTAAGATCATGTGTACCAATTTTCAAAGCGATCGCACGTTTTTAAACTACCATGCACACTGACAAACGGATGGTCAAAAATGGATCTGTTCCAAAATCGCTAGGATTAATTTCAAAAAGGCGTACGTATCATGTGCACGACGTACGATCGCTTTGAAAACTGGTACACGTATTCTTAAGGATATAACTGGTATAAGAAAGATCCTGGTAGGTACCTCCTATATAATAATATAATAATAATATTACGCTTTTGCTCCCCTTAAATTTGTATATAACAATAGAAATATAAAAAAAGCTAACCCCATACAAAGTATAACTTGATTTTTTAAGTAGTATTAAGCCTTTTATCTAGTATACTATTTTAAATTTTTAATGTATATTTGAGTGACAAGTATTTGAATACTTTTTACTGTATTCGAATACTTTTCAAAGTATTCTAATTCTTTTTATAGTATTCGAATACCTTTGATAGTATTCAAATACTTTTTGAAAGTATTCTGCCCAGCTCTGCCACCATACCATCGCAAGATAGGTCAAGATAGGCCTAATTACAGTAGTAAAGAAGGAGCGACTGAGATTCAGTGCTCATTTCCTCTCCATAAGGCTTCGACAACTCATTAAAGTCGTAGTGGCCTTGTTCACTGCCATGGTGATGTGAGGCTTCTAGTTAACCAGGGTAGACTCCTAAGTATTTGCATTCTGGAATGTACCCCAGCTTCCGCTATGTAAAAGGGCACTGTTTGTATCTTGTCCGAGTGCATTGAAGCTCCCTGCACTGTACATTTTCTCTCGCCCTACCTTCCAGGGCGTACCCTTTCCTTCTCAATGATCCCATTTGGAATCATATCATTTTGACATTGTTAAATTGTAACTTCAATTGTAGACAGTTATAATATATAATAATTGTGTATAGCGTTCTATAACATATAACAAATGTATAATATAAATATATAAATAGGTACTGGGCTGGAGTAAGAGATAGCGAACTTTTACTGCCGTTCATGGAAAAAAGCTCAATAATTGATCTTATTAAGCGCTTGGACTTGTGTTCCAAGATATTGATGCATTACTGTTATTTGGTTTTTAATGCAGGTACTGCGTTTTCAATTAAAGATTCCGTCTTCTTAGCGACAACTGCTGGATAAAATTTTAGATTAGAATTTTAAAAAGATCCATCTTGCCTCTACTAGAAATGATATTGCTTATCAACATGGAAGGCTTTGTATTTACGGTAGAATCTTTTACTGCCTGCTCCATATCTAGAACGTTCCTCGCCTTGTACATCTGCAATTTAAATAGATAAACACCATTCGAACCGTAAGACTATACATGTCCATCCATTCCACGGATCTCTCCCTCTTGGGCGATTGTCGATTCGGGCCCCCACTGTTGTAGGAAGTGCCCCACTCGAGCTACTCTTTGCTGGGGTGTGGTGAGCGTGTGACTTCCTCCGCAATATCGATTACAGATGTGGTGTCTGAAAGTGATTCGTGGATAGTTTTGAATAAGATGGTCGTACCGTTACCTGTCCCCCTTTGCTGGATTTAACGCGTTTTCAAAATGATTCATGTTCCTGCCAAGCGGTGCGCACTTTTGCTCTTTTCGCAGTTGATCCAGCTCGTAGGCCAAGTACGGCCCAATGCTCTTCGTTGGTGGCAATGAGGCAGGTGGAGGTAGCTGAGTGGGATCCATTTCTCTTCGCATCACCACGTCCTTATCGCACGATATGCAATTTACGTTCCTAAAACGGTTCATTGGAGCGATGCGATTAGGGCAGATCTCACCTTAAGAATTTGCTCTTAGTTCCGGCAGCTTCGGTATCTTGCTTCAGGGCGGCCAACGCTTTAAGTCGATCTTGCAACATTTTCAATTTGTTATGTACAAAATCTCGCAGAGGTTCTAGCTCCATTTTATCTAATTTATGTTCAATTTCGGCTTGGATATCATCCAGGGCTTGGGACCACAGCGTTTCCTAAAGTAATGGATGAATGATTTGATTTCATGCCAAGAATTACCTGTTCCGTAAGTTTCGCAAGTGCTTGCTCAATATTACGTGTCATGTCATCGCAAGCGGCGTCAAACTGGTCGTGCGATACCTTTTTGTTTACAGCGCACGCATCCGCTTTGTTCGCCAATGCATCCTCTAGGTCTTCGCGATTCGCTTTAACAGTCTTTAGCATCTCGATTTGCTCGAGAAGCGCCTACGGAAGATGAGGTGTTTCCCAATTAAAATTACCGAGGTGCTCATCTTACATCCAGATGCGTTTGCCTGTTATCCTTTTCATTTAGCAATGCTGCCGCCGTTCCAGAAAGATTTTCCATTTCCGCCTGCATTGCTACCATTTTTTTATACAGGTCGTGAATTCCCATGTTGCCTTCGTCATTGTCACCGGCGGGCAATCTGAAAAACCGTAGTCAAATTTGGGATTGTCACTTGTAAAAGGTACTGGGCGTTGATTCTTTCCACAATTTCTCCTATTTCTTTTTCGAGGTCGATCAAGTGTTGTTGAAGGGCATCTATTTGACTGTTAAATGAACTATCCATGCTGTTGATGTAATCTGCATACTCTTTGATCTTGCTCTCGAGGTCGTTCACTCGTTTTTCACCTATTTCAAGCAGATCGTGAATCATCAAAAGTGTATCATGATCTACCTTCTTCGCCTTTTCTTGCTGAACCATCCACTACTCCTGTCACCTCTTCGAGTACTTTTAATCGTGTTTCGACTGATCGGATCCATTCGTGTATATTACCACCTGGAATCCCTGAAGCCAGAGACCCTTCTACATCTTCGGGGAACAAATTACCTAGTAACGAAGTATCAATCATGCCCGTTTCTTTGATCAGTCTTTTACCTGTTGCGCGCTCTCGCGCCAGATCTTCAACTATAGCAGCCAGTTTATGTAGACCCCCTTCTAAAGCATCGATACGTTTCGTGATGGTCAGAAATTGAAACATGTCTACTAACGGCGTAGAATCTGCCTCTTTAGACCTAGAATCGTATAGTGTTAATTTTGTTACTTAACGTAACGCATTATTTTACCGTATAGCGTCGAGTATACCCAAACTAGAAGGCAATCCTTTGAGTTCTTCCACTTCTTGTCTTAGATTGTTTAATTCCTTTTCCAAATTAGTTAGGGTAGCTTTAGATATAGCTACTGCAGTGTGTGGCGTTGAAATAGCGCTACTAGTTTCTACAACAACCACTGTCTGCACGGATTCTGCCCAAGAAATTTGGTCTGCTTGTTGCTTCGGCTCCGTTTGTTGTTTCGGTTCCGTTTGTTGTTTCGGTTCCGTTTGTTGTTTCGGTTCCGTTTGTTGTTTCGGTTCCGTTTGTTGTTTCGGTTCCGTTTGTTGTTTAGGTTCCGTTTGTTGTTGCGGTTCCGTTTGTTGTTTAGGTTCCGTTTGTTGTTTCGGTTCCGTTTGTTGCTTCGGTTCCGTTTGTTGTTTTGAATCCGTTTGTTGTTTCGGTTCCGTTTGTTGTTTCGGTTCCGTTTGTTGTTTCGGTTCCGTTTGTGGTTTCGGTTCCGTTTGTTGTTTCGGCTTGGTTTGTTGTTTCTGTTCCGTTTGTTGTTTCGATTCTGTTTGTTGTTTGGATTCCGTTTGTTGTTTTGGTTCCGTTTGCTGTTTCGGCTGTGTTTGTTGTTTCGATTCCGTTTGTTGTTTCAGTTCCCTACTCTGCCCAACAACTTGTAATTCTTGCTCAAATAGGCCTTCCTCCTTGCTACCTTTCGTTTCTAAGTACAAACTTTTGGCAAAAGAAACAAATCACATAAAAGGTAACCTTACCCACTTTCTTATATCGCGCTTTTTTATAAATAACTTTGTGCTGCTCGTTTTCCGGTGTTACGATATACTCGGTGAGACTTACAGCGGGAGCTTGCGGAGCAGCTTGTATTAACGTTTGCACCCTTTCACTGGTATCTCCTTTAAATTCCACCTTACAACCGAGCAGGTCTACTTGCTGAATTAAAACGTGAAGGAGCGAGTGCAAAATGTTGAAATTAACGGCTCCAAGCTATTCAAACATTACTGTCGTGAAAAACATTTTTGCGCACCTTACCTCAGGCGATCCCAATGCCAAATCTACCATTTGAGGTAGGGATAGCTGCACACAACTTTCTACCATGGCGCTTTTTCAATAAAAGATAAGACTTTCAAATGTTGGGTCAAAAATGTGACGACGTTTGTCAAAAATTGTTGGTTAATAATACTCGATCGAAACCGCGGCAACGAAACAGTCAAACCGCTGTGAGCCGTGGTTTCCCAGCGTTATCTAATTTGCTAGAAACCTTCCTGATTATTAGGAAGTTTTACCTTTAGCTAAATATCCCTTTTTCTCGCGGCCTTAAGATGTTTGTTTAAAAAAGGACGATTTTGTGAATTCGATCATTACCCCAATCGTAGGATGTAGGGTGCCAATTCTGTCGCCCGCCCATTGTAGTGCTCTACCCGCTCTACCCCAAGGATGGCCATGAGATCTGGTACTTTTTGGTCAAAATTTTATTTATTTCACGACGATTGTCCATTTTACTCGATGAAATTTTTGTTCAGTTGCGATAGTTAATAAACGATTCGTATGTATATCCGCGTCATACGTAATGAGCCTTTAGTGTGTATAAGGTTTATTAATGGGTTTATACAACAATGTAACACTAACTCGTTAAACAAAAATCTTTGCGCCTTTATAGTTTTTTAGAAACATTTGATAGTATACACTGTGTCCAGAATAAGGATGTATATCATGGGAATCTCTGAAACCATCAAAGATACGACGTGAAAAGTGTAGTAGTTAAGACCTCGGACGGACGGACGGAGAAAGTGGTCATATTTTGATTTCTGTGACATGTCATCGGAAGTAATCGGAAGTTTCTGGCTTTCTTTAAAGCACAATAACTCTGTATTTGGGCATACGGTTTCGACACAGTAAGTAAAGGATTCCTAAAAGATTATAATATCGCAAACGTTTCTGGTTACGCCGCATTTGAGCGCATGATGAAGGGTACGCTATAGTGCAAAAACTATGTTAAAAAAAGTAACTTTTGAAAACGGTAAGTTGCCCCCTCCCCCACTTTTTGAAAATTTGTCATGGCTTAACCGTAATGGCACCAGTTTTAATTAAAGTGACACAATTTAGTGCATAACCGGCTTTATGGTGCAGTGGTAGAGCGTTGGGCTATAAATCCGAAGGTCGGGTGTTCGAACCTGGGTTGAGGTGAATTTTTCATCTGTGGCAGAGATGGGAATTACCTTAGACCAGTTTCGAATATTCTGCCGGCTACTCCGAATTGGGTTTTGCTGCAATATTCCTAATTCGTGGCGACAATTTATCATAATCCGCCATATTGGGGCTAAAAATTGTTTGATTGTAGGAACAATATACCTTGTCATGTCAAATTGTGACTGTAGAATAATAAACGTCAGTTTCATTTAAAGATTCTCGTTTAAAATTAACGACGCAGAAATGATCGTTTAAAACTTTGCAGGACAACCTATGGGGAAATCACTGCCTCACAAATTCAAAATGATAAATGGAAAACTATAATAACTAATATGTGATCAAAAATGAATCGCTTTCGAGTCACCTTTGGAATTTTTGTTTACATGGGAAATCGTACTTAACTTGAACTTCCAAAGGCGACTCGACAGCAACTCATTTTTGATCGCCCGTTATAAAATATGGTGCAATATCCAAAATGTACGTATAAGGGTAACCATTAATCATTAAATTGTGTTTAACATTTCAGTGTATTCTGTCGATTCTTGTTATTCGCCGCGTGTTTCTACTTACGGGATAAATAGCATCGCTTTAGCCTGGAAGACAAAACAGGTTGATTTATTTCACGGAGTACAAAAAAGCAATATTAGTTGTGCTTCAGCAATCATCATTGTTAAACTTTAAACCGATTCAAGCGTATTTACCTATGATGACAATTGCGTTATCCATAACTACAATTGAGTTTGCTGGTAAATTTGGTATAAGCTGCTTCTCTAACTCGTTTTCTATCTAAACTTATTATTTAGGGCTTCTGAAACAATTTTTACACCAATTACCAGTTTACCACTAGTAAGGTTAGGTACAGTATTACGTCTAAAAACACATTAAGTGAATTACACGCGTTAGAATATCGTAAATCCAAGCTGCGGCTTGAAAAATACGAGTTTTTATAAAACTGGAGAAGGAAAACGTAAAATAAAGCAAATACAAGAAGCAAAGCGTAAACTAGTAACGTGAAGCCGTGAAGCGTGAACTGTCAAAACAGCATAATTAATAATTATCGCACCGAGTGTACCGCTTTGGAGACTTTCTATTGGCCAGTTTGGAATTCAGCCCCAATATGGCGACCGGAACCAATGACCAATAAAAAATGAGATACCCTGTTGTCGTCACTGTTGTAAATTGAGTCACCGTAGTCCCGACTGTTAAACGCCTGTTGGTTTGAGGAGCCTAGACATGTGGCGCAACAAGCCAACTTCATTTTAAATTGGCTTCATAAATGTCTGAAAAATTGGATACGTTCGCACGTAAAACTTTATGATATCCTGGCTGGCTTACTGACCATACGTGAGTAGAATCGACAAGGGGGATCAATTCGATCTTCTATTACAGCATTTAATTGTGGTTTTTATTCAATGATTACAGTAAAAGATATGAGACTATTTTAGCCTCCGTTGGAGATGTGCAACAGACTTTTTTTTTGCATATACAGGGGGTTAAACGTCTCTTCTTGAAGTAAACTTTTGACTTCGGAAGTGAATTCGAAATTCTTTTAACAAACTAATTACTTCACCAACGGTTAGCTCCTAACATGAATTTTACTATTGATTATTGACTTACTTACTGAAGATTTCTTTTTTCCTAATTTCCTGAAAATTGACTTCAAACTTTCTTGTTCATTTTCTGATTTACTTGCTTGTAAAATTAAACACAGGATTACGGTAAAGCTATATTGAAGAAAAAATCATAGTGAAAGAATTCCAATTTACATTTCTCTTTACAGAATTTATTATTTATGATTTTCTCTATAAATTCAAATTAACTAGATTGATGATGTTCGTGGTCACGATCAACTAACCTGAACTTAATATTTAACCATATACGGCACAATTTTCTATACACATTTCTATACCTTATTGAACTCTGAATGAACCGATTTAAACAAAAAATTGACTTTGTTATTATCAAATCTATTCTAGTGGATTTCTAAATGGTAAAATACATGCAATACAAAACGGTTTCAATTGCCCATAGGTTGATCTCTTTAAGAATGTACAAATCAAAATTTGTCCGACTAATGTATTTTTCTTACTTCAATTAAATGTAACTTACGATGATTTTCTTAAAGATTCAGAGCGTTAATTTTGCATAAATTGAATCACGGTAGCTAGTACAAAATGGCTCTTATGCGGGGGACGATGTTGATACAAAGTTAGGCTGGAGACCTCTCCCCCATTTACCAGGACAATGATTTAGACTTAATTTCTACCAATCACAAACGCGCAATTTTGAATTACAAATGGTTTCTAGATGACAGCACCTGTCAGCAGTTTTTTCGAGTTCACCCGCGGCAATACTTTTGATAACAAATAATTATGGGCTCCCACATATTTATTATGTATGCATGTATAATAAGTAGTATGCTTTGTAACTGTAAGCTATGTGTATGCAGAGTAATCTGTTACTAATGAAATAGTCTTGTCAAATGCAATGCGGGCATCTAACTTCGACTCGGATTTTGGTTGCCACCAGCAGCCATGCTTCTTGTTAAAATATTACTTAGCAACGCAACAATTATACACAACAATAGCTCTTTATGGTAACGAACAGGTACGGGGGCGCTTAATTAGCTGCCCTTGACCGCGTATGGCTGTTTGAATCTCTCTATCGAACGCGTTTTACGTTAAATGTTTGTTACTTCTTCTTAGTGAGATTCGACCGAACTTCTTTCATGTGTAGGACATGCTTTTGACGAGGTAGAATGATATTCATTTATTTATGTAAAAAATGAAGTGCTGTAGGTATATCTTTAAGAAAAATCGTGGAACTTATAATTTATTATAATGGATTGAAGTATAAAATTTATTAAAGAAAATTGAATCTGCGTTTTCTTAAAGATCTCAGCACCTAGTCCATTCTGAAGCCGTTTGTATTATAGGTATATATTTTTTCCATTTTTTTAAGAATTGGATTTGATAGTTTGCTCAAAATTCAAAAACCCTAAACCAAAATAAGGTCGTATCCGACGTTTTTCACAATGTGAGAGGATAGCAAGAGAAGCTCAATTAATTTATCTTATAAAGCGCTTGAAATTGATTTACTGTCCCAAGGTATTGATGCATTACATAACTTGTTATTTTGTTTTTAATGCAGGCACTGCGTTTTCAATTAAAGCATCCGCCTTCTTATCGGAAACTGCTGGAAAAAATTTAAGATTAGAATTTTGAAAAGATCCATCTTGCCTCTGTTAGAAATGATGCTGCTTATCAGCATGGAAGGCTTAGGATTTACGGAAGAGTCTATTACTGCCTGTCCCACATCTAGAACGTTCCTCGCCTTGTACATCTGTAATGCCAATAGGTAAACGCCGTTTTTCGGAACGTAATACTATACATGTCCATCCATTCCACGGACCTCTCCCTCGTGGACGAATGCTGACTCGGATCCCCACTGTTGAAGGAAGTGCCCCACTCGAGCTACCCTTTGCTGGGGTGTGGTGAGCGTGTGACTTCCTCCGCAATATCGATTACAGATGTGGTGTCTGAAAATGATTCGTGGATAGTTTTGAATAAGACTTGGTCATACCGTTACCTGTCCCCCTTTGTTGAATTTAACGCGATTTCAAAATGATTCATGTTTCTGCCATACGGAGCGCACTTCTGCTCTTTCCGCAGTTGATCCAGCTCGTAGGCCAAGTACGGTCCAATGCTTTTCGTGGGCGGTAATGCGGCAGGTGCCGGTAGCTGGGTGGGATCCATTTCTCTTCGCATCACCACGTCTTTATCGCACGATATGCAATTTACGTTCCTAAAATGGTTCATTGGAGCGATGCGGTTAGGGCAGATCTCACCTTAAGAATTTGCTCTTAGTTCCGGCAGCTTCGGTGTCTTGCTTCAGGGCGGCCAACGCTTTAAGTCGATCTTGCAACATTTTCAATTTGTTATGTACAAAATCTCGCAGAGGTGTCAGCTCCATTTTATCTAATTTATGTTCAATTTCGGTTTGGATATCCTCCAGGGCTTGGGACCACAGGGTTTCCTGAAGTAGTGAATGAGTCTTTTTATTTCACGCGAAGAAGTACCTGTTCTCTAAGTTTCACAAGTGCCAGCTCAATATTGCGTGCCATGTCATCACAAGCGGCATCAAACTGGTCGTGCGATACCTTTTTGTTTACAGCACACGCATCCGCTTTGTTCGCCAATGCATCCTCTAGGTCTTCGCGATTCGCTTTAACAGTCTTCAGCATCTCGATTTGCTCGAGCAGCGCCTACGGAAGATGAGGTGTTTCTCAGTTAAAGTTACGGAGGCGCTCATCTTACATCCATATGCGTTTGTCTGTTATCCTTTTCAGTTAGCAATGTTGCCGCCGTTGCAGAAAGGTGGTCCATTTCCGTCTGCATTGCGAGCATTTTTTTATACATCTCTTGAACTCCCATGTCGCCTTCGACGGTATTGTCACCGGCGGGCATTCTGAAAACACGTGGTTAAATTGGGGACTGTTACTTGTAAAAGGTACTGGGCGTTGATTCTTTCCACAATTTCTCCTATTTCTTTTTCGAGGTCGGTCAAGTGTTGTTGAAGGGCATCTATTTGACTGTTAAATGAACTATCCATGCTGTTGATGTAATCTGCATACTCTTTGAACTTGCTCTCAAGATCGTCCGCTTGTTTTTCACCTACTTCAAGCCGATCATGAATCATCAAATGTGTATTATGATCTACCTGCAGCTTCTTCGCTTTGTCCTAGTTTTCTTGGTGAACCACCCTCTGCTTCGGTTTGTCCTTCCTTTGTTGTCGCAGTTCCTCCTAGTTTTCTGGATGCACCACCCACTGCTTCTGTTGTTCCTTCTGTTGCTGTCGGAGTTTGTCCTAGTTTTGTTGGTGAACCTCCCACTCCTTCTGTTGTTCCTTCTTTTGTGGTCGCAGTTTGTCCTAGTTTTCCTGGTGAACCACCCACGGCATCTGTTGTCCCTTCGAGTGCTTTTAATCGTGTGTCGACTGATCGCATCCATTCGTTTATATTGCCACTTGCACCAGTACCTACACTCTGTCCTACACCACCCTCCTGGCCCGATGACTGAGACATCCCTTCTTCATTGAAAAGTGCTTGGTCCGGGAACAAGGTACCTAGTAACAAAGTATCAATCATGCCAGTCTCTTTGATCAGTTTTTCACCTGTTGCGCGCTCTCGCGCCAGATCTTCAACTACAGCAGCCAGTTTATGTATACCCCCTTCAAAAGCATCCATACGTTTCGTGATGGTCAGAAATTGAAACATGTCTACTAACTGAGAATCGGTTTCTTTAGACCTAGAATATTACAGTGTTAACGCATTGCTGTTACTATTTCATTCTACCGTATTGCGTCGATTATACCCAAACTCGAAGGCAATCCTTTCAGTTCTTCCACTTCTTTTCTTAGATCGTTTAATTCCTTCTCCAAATTAGAGAGGTTAGCTTTGGATATGGCTACTGAAGTGTGTGGCGTTGAAATTGCGCTCCCAGTCTCTACAACAACTACTGTCTGCACGGATTCTGCCCAAGAAACTTGGTCTGCTTGTTGTTTCGGTTCCGTTTGTTGTTTCGGTTCCCTACTCTGCTCGGCAACTTGTAAGTCTTGCTCAAACAGTCCTTCCTCCTTGTTACCTTTCGTTTCTTAATGCAAACTTTTGGTAAACGAAACAAATTACATAAAAGGTAACCTTACCCACTTTCTTATATCGTGCTTTTTTAGAAATAACTTTGTGCTGCTCGTTTTCCGGTGTTACGATATACTCGGTGAGACTTACAGCGGGAGCTTGCGGAGTTGTTTTTATTAGCGTTTGCACTCTTTCACTGGTATCGCCCTTAAATTCCACCTTACAACCGAGCAGGTCTACTTGTTGGATTAAGACGTGAAGGAGAGAGTGCAAAATGTTGAAATTCACAACTCCAACCTATATTCCAACGTTACTGTAACGCAAATACATTTTTGCACACCATACCTCAGGCGATCCTAATGCCAAATCTACCATTTGAGGCAGCGATAGCTGAACTCTACTTTCTCCCATTGCGCTTTTAAAAAAAATATTAAAAAATAAAGAAGTTCAAAATAAAGTCGAGTAAAAAATATGTGACGTTTGTAAAAAAAAATGTAGATGATTAATACTCAATCGAAACCACGACAACGAACCATTCGTTTAATTGCTAAAAACCGTTCCTTAGGGCTGACCGTTTAGTACGTCGGGTACATGGCTAGAATGGGGAAAATACTGCACTTTTTGATTGGAATATGCTACTTTCTGTGGTAATAGTTAATACCAAAAGGTAACTTTTGAGATAGGGAGCCACTCGAAAATTCGCACAGGAAACCAAAATGGTGGCTGTCAAAATGGCGCCATTAGCCGCAATATATTTTTTTGTATCTCTGCTCCTAATAGTCCGATTTTAAATTTCTTTTTTTTTATTGAAAGCTCTTGTGACGAGAAAACTTTTTTGCTATATAACATTTATCTCTAAAAATAAGGATTTAGCACAATTTTAAAAAAGTGTTTTTTTTACGAATTTGAATCACAAGTAAGCTCTTAATTGTGCAATATCCCGGTCTTTTCGACAAAATAGGCCATCGTTTAGAAATTCAATCGATTCAATCCCAAAACTCCTTGTGTCTACCCTGCAAGTTCGGAAAATTTCAATCCGCCATGTTTTTTTTTTTGAAAAAAAACGCAATATTTGTTTCATCAGGCACGAGATCAAGCATTATGAAAATTGAAAGGAAAAGCCTCGTCAATTTTTTTTTCTGAAAAACAGAAAATACACTCTGCTTTTAAAGTAATTAAAGAAATACTCAGTAGGTATATCAACTTTGACTCTTACTCTCGCTCTTACTTATCCTATTTTATTTAACTAGTTGGTTTAAGCTACGGCGAATGTGAAATTTGGAGTGCTTATTTATCAGATCATCGGTTTTTTCGAGGGTTTTCTCTCGGGTTTTCTCTCGGGTTTTCTTTAAGAATATTAACGGAATATTATGATTTCCAAGTTTTAGATACCTATTCATATAAGTTGAATCATTTTTATTATACAGGGAATGCACCTTTTGTAAGCGGACGATAGAGCCTCAATGGTTGAGATTAATGGTAACGGTTTGTTGGTACGAGAAGCCTGAGGGGAAGCCTAAAACGTATTTTTAGGTATATGGGGTGTTCTCGAGGGCAGCCTATACATTTTGATACTTTTTATAGGTATCCCCGGGTATTCCTTAACAAAAAAATTATTTTTGTAGGTCTTATTGGTTTTTTTTCGTAATGCTAACCGCGAGGCTAACCGTTTTCCGGATATGCTTTTTATACAGGGTGAAAAGGTGAAAATATCTTCAAAACATTTCTCATTTTCTCGGGAACGGCCGGTAGTGCTGATGCAGTTATAAAGTTTTATAAGAGCAGGGGCGGACTGGCACGGGGGGGGGGGCGGGGGGCGATTGCCACCTAGCCTGTAGATCATAATGGCCCGTTGGAAATTTATAAGTATGTGCTGTATTTAGTTTATTGCACTATTAATAAATTATTAACACGTTTCTCTAATTGGGGTTGATGTTAGGTTGTTAAAAAATTCTGTTTTAATTGAAGTGTTTTACAATGAATTTATCATTTTTTGTCGTAGCATGAAAGTGCTGAAATACAATGATAGGCGACGCACCTCGTGTGGATTGTATATTTTGTTACTTTTAATTATCAGTTGCAATTTAAAAAAAAACTGTATGGTAATTGATTTTCGAGAAAGGAGTACTTTAAAATGTTTTTGTGGTGCACCTCAGAGCTACCCCCCCCCCTCGCCACCTTCATTACTACACTAATACTTTAATGGCCCGTAAGTACCCAGTCCGCCCCTGTGTATAACCTTCCTTTTTTACCAAAATTTCTCGGGAAAACACTTTTTCTTATTAATTTGGGTGCGTAGAATCCAAATCAATTCGTACTTTTTCGATCAGACTTCTCATTCAAAAGTTATAGACTAGAAACCAATTTCGAAAAAAAATTCAAAGGGTTGTAACTTTTGAACTAGTAGCCCAATCTTGGAACTGTTTGAAATTATGGATTCTACAGGCCACATTCTATAAGAAAATTTTTTTTCCGGGTCGATCTGAGACAATTTTTTTTCGGGCTCAAAAAAAGGCAGTGTATAACCTTCCTTTTTTACCAAAAATCGACTGCACCAAAATTTCTCGGAAAAACACTTTTTCTTATTAATTTTGGTGCGTAGAATCCAAAACAATTCGTACTTTTTCGATTAGACTTCTCAATCAAAAGTTATAGACTAGAAACCAATTTCGAAAAAAAATTCCGTAACCAATGCAATTCCACCTGGCCCGCAGTTACCAGGCCTGACGAGAAGGGGGGGTAAACGGGGGGATTCCCCCTGGGCCCGGATTTTGAAAAGGGGCCCATTGCATGGTTTTTTGGGAATAAAATTTTTACATCCATAAAGCATACCAATTTCACTAAAATAAAATATTTCATATTATGAGTCCTTGATTAGTAGAATAAAGTAATGTGGAATAGGTAAGTTTAAGCACAAAAAAGGGCCCCGTGCTTAACAACCCCCCGGGCCCCAAGTTTCTCTCTACGGCCCTGGCAGTTACCCAGTCCGCCCCTGACTAAGAGGCACTAACGATGTGATCATGTACCGTCGTTAGTTCTTTTAATTACCGTGCTACCTTCACAGACCTATAGTTTTTCCCTGATTTATGATTAGCTTACTAGAAACATTAAAAACTATAAGTATTTGAAAGATTTTTTGTATTTCTAATAACTTCCGAGAAAAATCGCGTTCCTTAATTCCGTTTAGGTACACCCTGTATATTTCAATGACTACCTATATGATCAAATTTTGAAATTTTTAAGATTACTTTTCCAACAGCGGCCGGCAACTGCCGAATGTTTGGTTTATAAAATAAGAAATAAATTATTAATGTTTTACTATTCGTTGTGTCCACCAATCAATTTCCATTATTTAACAAATAAATACAACAACTTATTCAAAACGAACTAAGGAAATAATCTAAAGTGAAATGTTCTAAGTTTAGAAATTGCGATAATTGATCCTTTCAGTTTCACAAATGTCCAGATTAAAATTAATTACGTAAGTGGTAATCGGGTTATTGCTGATAAATGTACAAAGTGAATTAGGATGCCGCAAACTGCTTAAGACCAAATAAAATATTAATTTTTTAGTGATACATTATATATTGAATATTCTTATGTTTCAGTTTATATGCTGTAATTAGCGCAATTTTTTAAGGTAGATTAGTTATCAATATCAATAGTAGCATTGCGCAAATAAGCAGCATTTGCCTTTAGAGGATGTTATCTACACAAAACAGTGCAACTACAATTGCAAAAAATAAAATAATGTATTGTATTCAACTTATACATATTTGGACATAAAATCCAACCTTTGTAAAACTGCAAAAACGCTATATAACGTTTTTTTTCTTTTTTAGTTCAAGTGGCTATATTTCTATTAAGACGCAGTCGTTAAAATCTTGAAAGTTGCCTAAATATTTATGTTGTGTAAGTGCCATTATATTCTTTTGCCAAAAGTTTAAATCGATAGCACCCTTCAGTAGATAATAATTAGTTTCAGACACGAATGGATATATAAAGAAAAACTGAATTCTACTAGAAAAAGAAATCAGTTTCTGTCCCCATAGTTTGATTTATTGGTTAAAATTTTTCCAAATCTCAATAGGAAACGTTGGCCGCTATTATGACGCTTATGAATGTAATTTATAATCTAAATCAAAGCGAATTAAATACGTAACATTTCTAAATATTTATTATAATGCACTATTTTACAGTGACATCATTAACATATAATAGACATTTGCATTTGTCTGTCTCAACATTCCATTTACACATAAATTCTAATACTGTACAACAAGCAAATACAATAGGTATGTACGTTTATAAAATTAGTTAATTTGTACTGACAAAATAAATCTTAATATAGGTACATATATATCGTTTACATAATGCACGCAAATAAATAAATTATACTTAAGCTTCTAGCTAGAACTGCTTCTATTTGGACCAAATCTAACATTTACAAGTTTTGGGAGTATTTTAATTGGTGTTAATCAATACTCTACAGAGATGAGCAACTAATACCTAAACATTTATTAGTTAATCGTAAAAGGTGGACCAACTTACACACATTAATAAAATATTTTCATTGTACTTACTCAATAAGTTTTCAATAGTCTCACGTTCATCATAAGAATGGTGTGTTAACATTGGTAACACATATGTATAGGATAATTGATTTAAAACTGGCCGCACAGTCATTCGCATTCTATCGCAAAAACATTCAGACTAGGTAACAACACATAAAATCAACAATAAATACCAACTCTGATCTAGCACCATTTTTGTATTACTTACTATTAAGTTAAACCTACTTATCACGATATTTCTTAACTACCTATAGGTACAGCTTTCGGTCCTCGTTGCACAATAAATTTGCTAAAATTACAATTGGCTAAATTACATTTAAATACAGTTTACCTCAAATAATTTGACTGTGCTTGCTACTGTGCTCGAGCGCGGCGAGAACGTCGTGCTTCTGCCTAACGTACAGCCGCCCCTTTTTCCACGGGTTTTGCAACTGTAACGGTTTAAAATCGTCCCTCAAACAGCGTTCCCGCGCCCCGATTACGGCAACTAAGCAGAAGTTCTTCAACTTGTCGGTAGTATAAATCGGTCCGTCCTTACCTTTTAAGACCACAGCCATATTTAATTGCTTCACGACTAAATCGACGACCTCCCTCGCGGTCGTGCGAGGGGTGACGTGTAACTTTAGGCTTGTGCCGCTCGCCAAGCCGGTCTCGTACGCCGCGTACACTTGCAGAATACCGGGCAAGGAATACTCTTTGGCGCTATTGCTGGACCCTGCATCTGTGTAAGGAACTTTAAAAACTGGATCAACTATGTCGGGCTTTTTATACCCGTCCAATGGTTTGAGGTACGTCGATTGTTCCGTATCCTTTTCGATACTCTTTATGTTGGTTAAGCTTCTCGACGATGTCGTTTGCAGATTGGACATGAGAAAGTTTGGGTCCTGATTCTTCTCAGATTTTCTACTCGAGGAGCTGATTAGTGAGGATTTAACATTGGTCATACTACGAGAGGGTACTATTTTTTGCTTGTGCTTCGCTTTTCGAGGGGTGCTCGAACTAATGGGTATAGGGCAACTTGTCTCGCTGTCCGAACTTAAACTATGCATACTGTCGGATGTATTAGTTGTATTAAAAGTGTTTACACTTAGAAGACTTCCACTAAACATTGGCCTTACACTTAAAAGAGGACTAGATGTTGCCGAGGTACTTGAAATGGTATTAGCCCGACACCGGTGATTGGTCGAAACGGGCGTGCCAGCGAACAGGGTGTCTTCACTACGCGATGGCGGTAACCTGTCATTGAAATAATCACTGTTATAACTCTCACTATTTTTTCTCGAATCCGAATCGCTGGCCGTCGTGAGGTATTGGCAGGAGATGATGCTTTCGTTTTTGCTGAGTTGCTGCTCGCTTTTGCTGAATTCGTTAAGCAATGAACTGTTGGGTGGACCCACTCCGGCACCGGGGCCCGGCCACGATCCGCGACCCGGTGTGCTCTTAAATATTTTGGTGTCCTGAGTGGGGATTTGCAGCAAACTTCGTTTGAGTGATGTATTGGTACCTTCCACCTCCTTTTCCAAAATGTACTTCATCGACAGACCGGAAGTAATTCGATCGCGCGCGAATGTTATAACGTCCATTAGCCATCGTATGCTTTTCCATATGTTATTTAGCTTCATTTGTAGGCTTTGAAGTTTCGACAGACGCTCACGGGCGGCGACTACCTCACTGTTGGAGAACGCTTCGCGGTGAAGATGACTTGCGGTGGCCGCGTCCAACTCGAGTAAGCAACTCAACTTTGAATACTTCTGTATCATATCGCTCTGATATGTGCTTAAATGTATCATCTCAAAAACTTGTATCGGTAAGCTGAGAAGATCGCCTCGTTGTAGTAGTATCTCACGTTGTCCGGGTACTGAACAGGACAGCTCCGCCGAAGGACATACGACTATAAAACTAACATCATCAGTCAAATCTATTATTTCTAAATCACATATTCGATGCGTTAGCGCATCTTCGTTTGATATGTCCATGTAATTAAACAGTCGCTTTGCGGCGCTAGTTACGAGATCAAGAAAGGTTCGTTGTTGTTCGGTAGAATGATCGGTTGCGTTGGTCATATATTGATTCTTCAGAAAACGCCATTCTTCTCTGCAAAAAATAACGATTTATTAAAATTTCACAGCGACAATGTTTTTCCAAGGTAGCAAATGAGTAGAAAATAAAACAAATAATGCATTATTGTGGACAGTTGCAATTGCGAGACGTACCTAACGTTATCATGGTGGAAATTTGGTCTGGAACACTGAATATATCTTCAAAACAACAATTTTTTTTAAAGAAGCTTCTTATGGTATCCAAAATTATGGAAAGTTTACTGTCAATCTATACAGGGTGGTGACTTGCGTAACGCATAATAGGGATTTCAATGTAAAATTCATAACATGTGATTATTGGCTCCCCAAATTATTTTAGAGCAAAAATGTATGTAGGATTTTTTAGAAAAAAATTTTTTACGTCAATCAACCGTATTAGTTTTCAATTTTTTGCATAATAAAGACGGAAAAATGAAACCCCCATCTTTTTCAATAATCTGTGATGCCATGGAATTTTATAATACAAAAACTACGCCAATATCCGTCATGCCATGGAATGTCTGCTATAAAACAAATCAAATTCTATCAAAAAGTATTATATTTAGAACAGCGAATTCAACATAAAGAAAGACCAAATTACTAAAAACGGTTTCCTAATATAACAATTTACAATAAATGTTCGAATAAGTCACCATTAACTGCAAGACAGTAACCTAAGTCGATCATAAAATCCATTTCGAACTGCTGCTAATTGATAACTTGATATCTTTTTGTTTTAGAACATTCCATGGCATCACAGATTATTGAAAAAGATGCGGGTTTTATTTTTCCAATTTTCCGTCTTTATTATGCAAAAAATTGAAAAATAATATGGTTTATTGACAATTGTTATTGACATTAACAATTTTTTCTACAAAAAACCTTAATACATTTTTACTCTAAAATAATTTGGGGAGCCAATAATCGCATGATATGAATTTTACATTGAAATCCCTTACGCCACCACCCTCTATAGTTTAAAACTATGCTCAGTGACGTACGGCTACTGAGTCAAGGAGGGGGAGTATATATTTCGTAATAGCAACCACAATTTTTCATTGGGTGCACATATTCTCTCAATAACAATTTCAATTCATTCAATTCTTCGTTAATTTCGGATACAATTAACTTGGGGTAATCGGTACCTTACTTTCTATACCTTCAGGACAGTGGCGAATCCAGAGAAACGTTTAAAGGGGGGCACATTATCAATATACAACTTTTAACTTCGCTCGCAAAGACGCCCCATACCTAATTACTTACGGTTACGGAAAACAGAATGTACCAGGTGACCCAATAAGACTGTTCCTCGGCCATATCCCGGGAACCGTTCGTCGTATGACTTAGGGGTAAAAAAATTATTGGGTAAATCGGTTATGAAGAATCGCTGGAAAATATGTTCAAGTTCTAAAAATGACCACCAGAGGGCGCAACTGTCATCTTAAATTTTAAAATTGCATTTTCTTTAAATTTCGCATAATAAACTAAAAAATTGTTTTTCACATTTTTAAAGAGAACCAAAAAGTGCAGTTTTTTGAATTTGTAATCTTTGCTAAAATGTCGATTTCTAACCAAGAAACATTTAATATGCTGGCGGCGATGGTTTGTGGTCGATTCGGATAACGCAAATAGAAGATGCGGCAGGGATTCAAAATGCTTCTGGGTTAGAAATCGGCATTTTAGAAAAGATTAGAAATTCAAAAAACTGCACTTTCTGAATGTAAACAAAGCAGAATAATTTACAAATTACAGCTGTTATCATTTTGATGCATCGTGTTCCATTTGTTTAATTTTCCAAGGCCTACCTAAAAGTGTACGGTGCTTTTCTTTCGCGCCATCGACAAGTACCGGAAATACGTAAAAAGTAAATTTAAGATACAAGTTTTCCCAATATTTGAGGTTAGGAACGAGATTTTGAAAAACGGTTTTCACTGGCCTCTTTGGATGTTATTTGGGTATCATTCCACTTGATTTTTTTGATTTTTTTAAGATTTTGGGTCATAGTGTCAAAGATAGCCCCCTGGCGGAGAAGGATTCAACTAAATTAACTATATTTTGATTCTCATTGCATTGCCCAAGGAATGCTCTTTTCAATCATACCAAATTTAGTAAAATCGGTTAAACGGTTAAGAAGTTAAAGCAAGTTATTGCAAAAACAATTGAACGCGTTACACCATCTTTGTTTTTGTTTTTACGAAAATGATAGATAAACTGGTTCTCTTTAAAAATGTGAAGACAATTTTTTTAGTTTATTATGCGAAATGCAGTTTTAAAATTTAAGATGGCAGTTACGCCTTCTGTTGGTCATTTTTAGAACTTGAAAATATTTTCCAGCGATTCTTCATGACCGATTTACCTAATAATTTTTTTAACCCTAAGTCATAAATGACGAACGGTTCTCGAGATATGGCCGAGGAACAGTCTTATTGGGTCACTCGGTACGTAGTGCACATTTTTAGAAAGTGGGGAATGTAATGGAAATACTGTAAATAAAGTTGTCTATAACATTTAAACAATGCTTTTTGCATTTTCACAAAGCTGTTTTGGGGTTGTTAAAGGGGGTAATTGCCCCGTTTTCCCCCTGCCGAAACCGCCATTGTTTCATATGGAGTTTTTCCACATTGGCATGTTTGCTCGCTCTTACGATTGGATGTATGACCGTATTTCTGGCATTTAAAGCTGTCGGAATTTCTCCGTTGGATGGTTAGGGATATTCTTCACCATGGATGTCTCCGGACTCTAATTTGAGGATTGGTCCAAAAAAAAAATTAAAAAGGTTTTTGCGTTAAGGCGAGTAACACATTTTCCATGAATTGACCTTCTCGAAAGATCATATAAGGGACTGTTTATGTGTAGGCACAAAGGAACATAAGTTAAGGCATAAATATTCTTATAAATAAGGAACTTAGCATTGTGCAGTCTGCGCCTGTTTAAAATATGCGATATGTTCGCATTTACAGGAAGAATCTTTGGTTAAAATTTAAAAAATATATCTCCATAAATAAGAATGTTGACATTGTCAGTTGGATTTCTCCTTTGGAAGGCAGCAGCAATTTGAGAAATTGTATAGTGGCATTAGGCAAACAAATAGACCTCCCGCATTACCAATTAAATTGGGTTACTTTTGAAAATTTATTGCGAAAAATAGTTGACGCAATTGATTCAGGAATATATCAGGGTTGCTTTAATTTACTTAGTAGAACTTAATAAATTCAAATTTTCAATGTACCTTTGAAAACTTAGGGTTTTAACAGCAAAAACAAACTTGAATTAATTGTCATTAACCTTTTTACCGATAGTTGTTTTGTTCGTAAATAACGCGCATTATAAATAAATTGTTGAAATGCTTTTTTTACGCAACTTGCCACTACAAATATGGCACAACCAACGGCATGTTTTGCACCTTGGACCCAAACTTCGTCGTAGTAACTAATTTAAACGCCTTAATCGAAATATGCACCGAAACGAGAAAAGGTTCGCTTCCGTTTTAATACGACAACGCTTCGCAATATTCACGTTTGAAATTACAGTAACCATCTGATCGTCTCTTTCACGCAATACATTTCTCTTCCTGCATTAACCGGTCACGTATTATTAATTCCCTTCTGCTGGCCGGTCGTAGCGAATTTAGAAACTTTTTAAAAATGGCGACACTGTCTCTGGTTCTGAAGACAACGGTTCTACATACACTGCTTCTTATGGTACCCAAAATTATGGAAAGTTTACTATCATAGTTTAAAACTGTGCCAATCGCGTACGTCTACAGAGTCAAGGGGGGGCGTATATATTTCGGAATAGCAACCACCATTTTTCATTGGGGACATATTGAACACCTTTTCTGGTGCTGTATAAAAAAAATACATTCTTTAATAATATGCAATGAAAACTAATAAAAAAATATGCCCCCTTAGACCATGCAGAAGTACGCCACTGACCGCAAATTTAAGGTATGTACTGCTGTGTTAATTTACGTAGTTTAACGATGTCTAATTTTTGTTTAAATATCCGCATGCTAAGTTGCTCCTTTCCTTAACGTAATTCCCAAGAAAGGAGCAACTTAGCTCCTTTTTTGGAAAATTACGTTAAGGAAAGATAAGGGACATTTGGAAGTGCTTATAGAAGTTTGTGAGTCGCTAAAAGTTAATTAACTTTCTTAATAGATATTGTCGCAGGTGCGCATTTAGATAAGAGAATGTTGTTTGTTTTAACTAAAGAATGAGAAAGATGAGAAATGTATTAAAGAGACTTGGGTGCCGTATTTTGGCCGTTGGGTGAAGTCGGGCCCGTTTGTTGGAACCGTGCTTCCGGCTTTTCAGTTTTCAGATTTCTTAGGGACTGTCAGTTTGTGGAGTTGTGGGTTTGTCGAAGACCTTTGGCTGGTGAAGTGGGAGAGTTTAAGTACGTCATGAATTGAGTGTTCGAATTCGGGTTGGGAAGAGGTTTCCTGTCCCGTGTTCGGAGAAAAGTTTGGGAGAGTTTCTGAGACGAGTTCAATTTGCTGTTTGTGTTTTTTTTTGTACGCGTCTGTTTGGTGGAAGTCGAGGTGTGAGACTAGATGTTTAGATTATTGACTGTACAAGGTGATTGGGATGTTATTTTGTCTGTTTTGATCGAGAGCTTGTGGTGTGGTCGTGTTTGTCGATGGCACTGTTGCCACTTTTTATTACAGCAATTGTCGAATAAATTTTGTGTTTGAGGTAAGGGTTCTGTATCAGTTTGAGCACAGGTTGCGATCTTGGATTTTAAGAGCTTCATGTTGATTTTTTTTGGTGAGTTGTTTGAGCTGGGTGGACAGGTGGGCGGCTTAGTGACCGTTCGCCATGGTACACAGCAAATAATTTTGGCGCCCAACGTGGGGCACACAGCAGTATGTATAATAGGTATACTATAATTGTGAATATTATTAAAAACTGTTCTTGCAAACTTTTGAAGGTATATTCAGTGTTGCAAACAAAAGTTCCACACTGTTTGTAAATGACTAGGACAGAAAGACTGTGCCAGTAATGTCAACATCATAATAATAATGAAATTATATCTCTTCATATATTAACTTTTGACCCAATAAGGTTTTTCACTGCTATCTTTGGATTTTCCCTTATCTTCTAGATGATGCAGTATGACATCAGAAAAATATAAAATCTAATATAATTACTCAGAAACGTGTGGATTGTCCCGAATTTTGCAGTGAGGTAACATGTTGGGCGACTTTGCCGGAACTACAACTTGTATCAAATCAACAGAACTTTGCATTTTGAGATAAGCCAAGTAAAGTCCTTTGCCAAGTTTGAGTCCGGAAACTTGATGATAGTTAATTTGTTCTTGTATGGACCCCATCAAAATCTCCGAGATGCTGTGGTCGTCGCTGAGCACAACTTTTTTAAACACTTTGTTCATTGGTAACCATCGCGAATTTAAAACGGATACACTTTTCGGCGACTTTATGTAATTAATTGTACTGAGCACCACCGTTCCGTTCACATCACGTAAAGGTTTGTAAAATAGTTGCCCTAAGTCCTGCAAGCATAACGCGGATTGCATTTGTAAAGCGGCGGCTAAAAGTTTGGTACGGAAGTGGATTGCGGACGAGGTTGTCTTTTCCATATCGCAACGCAGAAACTTGGTGTCGTTCCACGTACACGCAACCTTCATGAACCAATGAAGATCGGTATGGATGCAACTTGGAAAGGATTCATCAATTTCTATCACAGGTAAAAAATCTTCATTGGTCACCAAGACTTTGTCTTCATGGTACAAAATGCAGGCTAAATATATTCCCCTGAAACCTCCAATTAATATCATCATTTCATCATGTTTGCACATTACCTTTTTAAATGCTTTTGAAATTTACTTGCCGCCGAAAATAGTTGCTTAATTGTCGTCTTTTTTCTTTGCGTTCTGCGCTGTGGTCCCGGCGTTTCTAATATCTCGGTGCCTGGTCGTATTTGCTTTACCTCTTCGATTAAGTGGTCCAGATTGAGGAGTTTACCGTCGTACCTTGAATCGCGGTGGTCAACTTCTCTCCACGTCGATGGCACCACCGACGCGGGGGTAGAAGGTACAAAGTTGCCGAAGCCCTTTAAATTTCCGCAAGCTGCCCTAAAAAAATATCGTCTCCCTTGGGAGAGCTCTATTGTGCAGGTGGGCTTGGACATGTCCAAAATATCAATTTCGCCAGTTAGTGGAGAAAAATCAGGCCTGGCGGACCACTGAACTGTAATTGAACTTTGCTAGATTAAGTTTAGAGTGCTTAGGCGATTACCTAAATATTTGGTATTAATAGCGGAGTCATTCGAGATTGGATCTTGTAAACGTAACGTGATGGATGTGGAAGATGTTATATCGACGGCGACAAGAGATGGGGGATCGGGAGGTCGTGCTTGTGCGAAACCTAGCACCATTCGTCGGAGGACCTTCACTCTTCTGCTCCAAGCGATTGCCTGTTTCTCTGTGTCGCCACCAGCACAACCTACAATCACAATTGGGATATCTGATGGTTTAAGTAGGGAAACCAACCTGTCATGGTCGAAGACTGGTACGTATTCCCGATAATGCTCGAAAACGACGCCCTAGTATTAAACGGTGCCCCACAAGGTTCCTCTAATAGTCCACCTAATTCTTGAAGACGCATCTCCGCTTCTCCCAGAAGATGTTTCAGATGCGAACCTAACTTGTCGGGGCTTGAAACTGCAAAAATGCCGCACACTTATGGGGAGCAATGGGTCGGCGACAAACTTACATTGACTACCCTCTCGCGCTCCGAAACTAATTAACATTTTCACTAAGGGACGGTTATTGCTGAGAACGGCAATGTCTAGAGGCGATAATCCATCGTTATTCACACTGTAAATTGAAGTAGCATTTATTTTAGAACAAAAACCATTTATCCGTTTTATGGTATCGGTTTCCTCATGCTTTACATAATTTATTATAAGAGGAGATCGACATTCGACGGGATAAAAGAATTTATCGCGCTTTAAAAGGAATTCTCTACTTTCCGTTTCGATCAATGTGCATTTCCACAATTTGAGAGAAAATTCGACTTTAAATAATTGAATGCGTTTTTTAAGAGGATTATGGGAACAATTCTCAATACAAGAATATCGAAGGCAGTTTTTCTGTGTTTCGTGCCCAATGTAGAAAATATAAAATTGGATGTTCTTTCGTTTAGATTAGCAAATGGTATAAGGAATATTTATTTAAAAATGCTCAAGGTATGACATCTTCCATAAATACCTTTGACAATAATTACTATAGTATTTCCAGATCACGGTCAACCTCTTCTCTTCACTTACCTATTTACGTCAACATCTGTAGATTCCAATATCGTCCTGGCTTTCTCCAAATGTCCATGTTCAATAGCGGCAAACAAAGCTGAAACAAAACATTAGCAAATTAGTTAAGGATTATTTAAGCTTCAGTTCCCCGTCCTACCGAAAAGCCTGCACAACCTACTTTGCATAAAATCTTCTAGCTTTGCACATGCAACTAGAGCTCGCGTTCAGCCGTCTTTAAATCTCAATTACCAGACACCTGCATGTGACTTGCCGTCACACAGCAGCAAAAATTGCGCGTCATTGTCATGTAAAAGCGCCCTATCCCCGTTAAATTTTCTTACCCTGCAAGTGAATGTTGATCCTCGCTAACCGTTCCAGGCGCTGTTGCATTAATTTTGCCTGTTTTTTACTAGGCTTGTGCCCATGGGACGATAAACCCGTATTAAGGTATCCGTTTGCAATTTCCATTTCGTTCTCGCTCGATAATGGGGGTAATTCTGGTAAAAGAAAAATTAAAAATAAAATCAAAAGTTGAAGGTAATAATTAATAAATATAGCGGGATGAGCAAATGGATGTAAATTGTAATGGGAGAAAAATAAAATTCGATGCTATCAAATTTGGTTCGTCAGCCAGTCATGATAATTAAATCATATTTTCGCAGGCCCTTTCTGAACTAACGATTCCATTCAATGTTCCTCTAGGTTTACTAGTTGATATACATACACATGCAATATTCTATTGAATGGCATTCTTCGGCTAACAACCGATAAATTATACACAAGACAGTCGAGGCATTTTGCACTGTGCACTAAATTAAATGAGGACAATAGAGATTATACTTATCCAATAAGTGAGATACATGAGAAAATGAGATCATTTCCCGTGTTGAAAGGAGGAAATTCAAAAGAATCAGGAAACTCTCCTGAAGAACCAGGCCGATCTGAGGAAATACGGGAAGACATTGGGGGGGGCATGGTGCATTCGTCAGACTGGCTTTGTGTCATATCGCAGCTTGTTCAATTCTATGTTGTTTAGATGTAAGTTGTTAAAGGAATATAAAAAAAGTTCAACTTTTCGCTTTCACCCTGTAGGTATCTCAGAAACAAACGTATACTCCGTTCAATAGTTATTGTCCCAATAGTAAGCCATGTTATGGTGATGAAATTCACTGTGTATATGTGCTGTCACTCATTAGGTTATGTCCATTTTATACAAAATGATAATTTCCTGTCAATGTGCAAAACATAGTTGCCAGATTTAGTTTTGGATTTCGTGGTAATTTTGTTATAGGTTAATACGTACAAATAAATGTATAAATTTCATGAGAAACAACTTGCTCAATACGTTTCATACTTTATTGAGTAGGCAAATGGCTCTAATGAACATCATTAATTTCAAAAGGATGTTATATATGAACTTATTTACAGTTATACGCTTAGTAATAGCAGGTTGCTGGTGGTGGTCCTTATGAACTAAACACTTCCACATTTAAATGCCGATATGCTAGTCTAAACTTCGAGCAGCTTTAGTCTGGGGCTGGATCAGCTTTGGGAGATGTGTGGTAGATTCTTAGAAGATAACCACTGCTCGATACGTCAGTACCATCATACCCGAGATGCTCTCAACGACCGCATTGATACCTAACTGCGCTTGAGTGTAGTTCTTGCTTCCACGGTGCCATTGGAATGTTCTTCCTTGGGTCTTTTGTTTTCCGTCTGTGCTGTTTGATGATTAGTACATTTCTGTTAATCTTATTTCCGGCGGGTAGCTTACTATTCTTTGGGGAACCTTTTAGTCTTAGAGCAGCTGCCTGATGGTGTTTTGCTCTCGAATTTCTTCTTCTGGATGTTAACTGTTGTTTCCCCAGCTGAGTACGTGGTGAGGATTGTGATTCCTTTCCATGTCCCAGCTTGTTATGTGGTGACCTCTAGTTCTTTCTGGATGAAATCCTTGAATCTTTCCTTAAATTCTGGAACTTGGAAGAGTTTGGTGTTCCCATTCGTTTTCCATGTCATAAACAAAAATGTTGATGCCAAAAACCCTCTATTCCACGACCATTGTTTCATTGGAAGTATCTGAATCATTACCAATACCTGATTCTGACTCAGATTCCTCCAATGAAATGATGAAAGGTGGAATGTTTTCAAACGAAATATTTCCCATATATTTCACCCAGTCTTCCGAAATTAGTTTTTCACAATGATTACAAAAATTTTGCCACATACCAGAAGTACAATTTGAAAGAGCTTCAAGCCATAAATTTTTAACCTTATCCTTGGATGAAAGCTGAGAATGTATACGCTTGTTGGAGTAAGTTTTACAGAACTCCCATGCCATTTCAATAGGATTGTACTGGCAATGATACGGAGGAATCTAAGAACTTCGTGCCCATTCTCTTTCAAAAATTCGTCAGTCACGTAACGTTTGTTATTGTCTTTCCTAAAAGGTTCAATTAAACTCCAAAGATAATGTTTGGTAATTTTGCCCTCAATTTTGACATTGTGTTTAATCAACCAATCCTGCATCTGATCCTTTTTCCAATTACGTGAAGGTAATTTTTCCAACTGCACCGAATGATACGGTCCATTGTCCAAGATCACCACACATTTACCTTGAATTTTGTTCAGAGCAGGAAGTAATTGATTAACCACCCAATTTTGAACAATCTCCCCGTTCATAGTTTAGTGATAATCCCTATCGTTACTATTTGAAGTTTGTAATACCCTTCCAAAAATCCAAAACGAGACCCCGCATGCAAAACAGTAAAACGCTTCCCTTCTGATTTAATTTCAGACGGATTACTTTTAATTTCAGAATCGTGTACCCATTTTCGGACGCTGGATCCATTTTGAAAAATCCAAGTTTCGTCCAGATTCACGAATGTTATATTTTCCCTTGAATCTTGGTATTGCAAGAATTTCCTCAAAAATGTAATTTTGGATGCAACATGTTTTTGTTAACAGAGGATTTTACGTCCATTTACGTGTTTGTATTTATAACCCATGGATTTTAGAATGTTATATAAAGTAGTTTTCCCCTTATCAAAATCAAAATTTCCCCGCGCGTCCCTTAGCAAATCAGCCAAAGTAAAGTGTTCATTTTTCGAGTGATTCCAAATCAGTCGCAAATCTTCCCGAAATGAAAAATTTTTATATATAATATCAGTTTGAGGTCGTGGGCCAAAAGTATTCAGCCGGATAATTCTTTCAATGGTTTTTTCTGATACCTAGAATAGTACAAACCCCAAAATTAGACCGAAAGTTAATGTTCAATGCATAAATACTCACATCCCAAATGTCACTAAGCCGGACTAAGGTTTCCACTTTCCTTAGGTCTGGCCTGTCTGTTTTATAATGCCTGTAGGCTTTTAAAATTTACATTTTCGCATCTGAGTTTATGATTTTCGGCATATTTGCTCTATAGGTATTTTGAATTTCACAAACAGTGGTGCTGGGTCGCGAAAACCGCAAGTTTCTATCTATCACCCGAGATACACTGCGGTCTCAACCAAAATAGGACACACTGTACATGACGGTTGTGCTTTTTTTAAGCTCGACACTCACGTTCAGTTCGTCGATAGCCCGTTGCTCAAAATTACTCCGGCCGAAAAATACTTACAATGCGATTTTCAAAATTCACATCGTTGCCTTCCGGCCAAAATTGTCCTGCGAACTGAACGTGTGTCGACACTTAGTTAAAACCCACAAATTACAATGAGATCCATATGAGTGTATAGGGAAAAATTAAGAAAAATTTGTAAGAAACATGATCACTTCACTTGATTCATTTGGCAGTTGATGCAGAGCTTCGAATAGCAGCAGCAACACTGGCTTGTTTTCGCGCATCCACCTGTGATCGGTCATTCTGTCACTATCGTACGCCATTGTGGTTATCCTGGCATTAAAAATTCATCAAAATTCAATTTATGGAAAATTGTTTCATACGTGATTAACCCTTCGAAAATGCTGTCAATTCCATGGTAAGTCTAGCACTTTAGATGCGACTGATATTCAATACCACGAATGGTGAAGGTGTGAGATCGTTAGTTCTTTACGGTTTGGCCACACTTAGTAAACGTTTGCTTAAGATTGGTAGAAAGTTTTTATTATTCGGTGCGATGATCAAATATTTGCCTAAATTAAATCTACATATGAAAATTGCGAAGTTTTTCTCATCTTGCCTATTAATAGCGTCACGCAATCGACTAAGTAATTAAAATTAGCACTGCACGTGCAAAAAAATTTCGAAGCACGAATCCGTTAGTTTTATAACGAACAATTATTATAGAAACATAACTTCCTCAAGTCTCATTGCGATATTCTGCGCCAAAAGTTGTATAACCAAAAAATGCCATCGGGTTCACCAAGAAAAAGTAACTTATTTCTAATCTTATTCGTTATTTTGAACGAGAAAGAGGTAATGGTGGGCCACTTTTACCAGTCGCAGCAGTAAGAGAGGTGAGTGGATACTTTAGTAATATAATAATTCATATACGTAACAAGTTTCATTTCAGATGTGGATGCATTAAAATATATTAGCCTACGAACATAAATTTCTAAATCGGGCAAACCTCTAGAAAATCCTAAAGGCAATGTAAGAAACCCGTTAGCGATGTTGATAGTTTCACAGAATCACAGTAAGTTAAAACACACGTTGAATGGTTGAATGTAGATAGGCGTTTATGTTAACTGTGAAAAGATTACATTATATTAGATAAATATTTGTGTTCACGTTCGTATTTTAGAGCATCTTACGCTTCAGTCTCTTTTGCAAGTTCTAAAAGAGAAAGACGTATTTAATAAGTGCAAAAGTGCCTTAAGAAAAGTTCCAAGAAAAGGTTTAACGGAGAATTAAGGGCATTAGAAAATGGACATGCGGTACTAAGGTTACATCCCTACCATTGCGTTTCCAATCCCATCGAAAATATATGGGGAATTTGCAAGAAAAGGGAGATATGTGGCAACAAGCCATTAACGCAGTTACACCTAATCTGTGGAGCATACTAACAAAATTATTTTTTGCACGATCGGTTATAGTCGGCTACTTACTAATTCATTTTCAAGGCGGTAAGGTGCACTTACCAACCTAGGGCGGTAAGTGTATCATAGCAACGTGCTTAGCAACCAAGTGACAGTTACAGTAACATGCGACAAGTAGGATATGTGTCAAAAATCAAATTATTGTTTATTAATGTGGAAGTTAAATGTACAATTTGCAAGTTACAAAAATTAGTTCGGGAATTAGACAGGCAATTGGAAAACACTGTGTTTACAGATTCTTCACACTCAGCAGTCGATAGAGGATTTGAATTAGTACGGTATGAAATAGCAGGTTCTGTTGATGGCAACGAAGATGATGAAGGGTTCCCTGGAGTTCCACATAAAATCTTCTGAGCGGTTTCAATCTTGTTAGTTAATGACTCACCAAGTACGTGTCATCGGGTGCTTCCGTAAGAAATTTATGGAAATCTGCTTTAGAAAAAACGCTAGATTTTTTTGGCTGATACCCAACGTTCTTTCTTTTCAAAAATGCTATCAGCGTACTGTATTTAGAAATATCAACACCCCTTCTTAGAAAAATCATACTTTTCAACATGGAATAATCACACCATAAGCTTGATGGCGATTTCAATCCTTCACTACGTTGAACAAAATATGCTAACACAATTTTTTCACTTATGTCAGTTTGACATTTACTTTCACACCATTTAAGGAAAGAATCATATGCGGCTTCATATCTACTTTTAAATTTTTCGGGAATGATCGATGCGCAGCCAATACTCCATGCATCTTCTATTTCGAAATCTTCTGAATCATTTAGGTATGTTCACTTAGTCTCAACCAAACCACGTTTCGCGCACGTGTTGTTTTGTTTTCAAAAACAGAAACGTAACTGTAGCAACCCACAAAAAATTACTGAACCTATTGTGATGCTACCACATTGATACATTCGAATTTAGTTTATATCAATTATAAATTGATCGTGCAAAAAATAGCGTAAGCACCACGGTCAGTAGGTGCTTAACCGATTTCGGATAATATTGCAAACCTCGAGCTGCGCTCTCGGTTTGCAATTATTATCCTCAACCAGTAAAGTACACCTACTGACCTTAATACTTAATATACTATTCTTAAAATGGACGTTAAGCAGTGGTGTAGTTGTAAATGAAAAGGTGCCGGAACGGCGATCAAAGGTACTTTTTAGAGTTGTGCAGTTTAGCAATTTGTTAATACAACACGGTATAATCTGAGTAATCTGAGTGTAAATAAACCTTGGACCTTAGCTTTTCGATCATTTATTTTTTAAAAATGTACCGGAACGGCGTTCCGCTTACAAAAAAAGTGCCGGAACGTCGTTCCGCCCCGCTCCGGCCCCACTACACCACTG